TCTAAGAGGTCAGATGTGTAAAATTTTCATTGCAGATACTAAGAACTACACAGTACAGTTCAACAGCATTTTTGTACTGAAAGCAGAAAAACAGTCATTGGATTACTTCTTTTATAATAAGACTTCTTTTAAAGAAATTTTAACAGTGTCATTTTAAAAGCCTACGGACACAGGGAATCTTTGCAGTCCTTTCACGAAGCAATACTCAAATAAGCTTACAACAAATATCTTAGAATAATTAAAAAGAAACTTGACGATATATAAAGTTTAATCATCAGCAATGCAAATACCAAATTGTGATTCAGCATTTTATAGCAATCTAAAATTTGATTCATTAAAATAGGTATTATTTTGAAACGTATGTGAATATAGGCTGTTCTTGGGAAAATTTTCACTTTCTTTTGTATTGTAATTAATCATGTAGCAATAAAACATTAACCCTTTGCGGCACAGTGTGTCCGGTAACACACCTAAAAGTTTCCTTCTGTACGCACAGAAAAATTGAATGAAAAAGGATTTATAGGTTACTATATGTTACTCTGAACCTTCTTTATTCATAGTAGATGGCAGCTCGACACAAACCAGTCCATATATTTTAGCCATGTTTAGTTTTTTAAGACCCTCATTTTTCAAAGAAATCTTCTAGATTTTTTTAAGGTATAAAAGGAATTGTTTGAAATGAAATTTCTCTGTTATTTTATTGGCTGTATACTAATCTCCTTATTCTACATTAGTTTTAAATTTTTACCTTGAAATCTTGCCTAAAAGCAAACGGCGAACCCTAGGTGTGCCCAGAGCGGGCTCACCGATAATCTAGGACAACTGAGACTCTGTATTCTTTGTTTCTCCGCATCTCTCGGTCAGTTCATTGACAACAATGCTCGTTTCAGCACTCTTTTCGAAGCTCTATTCAATCAGTGGGCCACTTTGTGCACAACCACAGAATTAAAACGATAAGTGCTATCTTCACAAAATTTTACTTGTGTACTCCTCTAGGCCTCTAATTAGACTGCCTACCTTTTTTTTTTTTTTTTTTTTTTAATCAAAACTCCGACTTTAAAAGGTAGCGTGACGGAAAGGTTTAAGCATGCCATTTTAAAATTTTGCAGTACATTTCATAAATGTGATACGTTTATTAATAAAACTTATCTCTAAATTGCTTTTGCTATTATTAGCCATGAACTTCCAGTATAATTGAACATAATGTAAAAGAAAATCACAACACTAACACAATTTAAGAAAATTCGTTATTGAATAATGTTAATTTTGTAACATTTTATAATTATTACTATTAATAGAATTTCTATTACTAAAGCTTTTTAGTAATGGTTATATCTTAATCCAGCGGTGCCCAACTTTGTGCTCGCAGATCGTTTTGTATGTGCTCGCCAGCCCGATTAGGTACTATGAACAAAAAATATTTTTAAAATAACCATTCATTTATTTTTCTTAATTGTTAAAATATGGGAAGCATTTATAGTCATAAGAGATATCTTGCAAGATGTTATAAAATAAATGATTGCTGACTCATGAACTTGATAGCGAACATGGAATCTTATTGCTTCATTCCGATGTTAGATGGCTCAGCAGGGGAAAAGTACTTCAACGAGTTGTAGAACTTCTTTCGCCAATAAAGCAGTTTTTTGAATCCGGAAACGAAAGTTATAAAGAATTGGACGATAACAATTGGTTATCCGATTTGTATTTTCTCACGGATATAACAGCTAAACTGAGCAAACTGAACAAAGATCTCCAGGGAAAAAAAAAAAAAAAAAAAAAAAAAACTTTTCAATTGACTGGGACTGTAACTGCTTTTCAGATAAAGTTAAATTTGTGGATAAATCAGATGAAAGAAACAAATTTCACCCATTTTTCAGAATTTATCAAGCCATATTAATAACCACAAGGCAATTGAAACAGAGAAATACTCGAAAAACCTAAATGTACAGAAAAATAACTTTGAACTCCGCTTCTCTGATTTCCATAAAGTTCAACCAATATTATTATTCATCTCAAAAACATTTGCCTAAATTAATATTTCAGATGTATCACATAAGATTGGAAATATGTTTAACAAAAATGTTGATGTTTTGGAAATGGGCCCGCGATAGGCCAAAATGTGCTCGCGAGAGGTCAAAGGTTGGGCACCTCTGCCTTAATCTATCAATTTAGAATATAAACATCATTACTGAAAATTATCTTAATATTTATTTTAATATCAGAACATGTGAAAACTATTTATGCATATTTGCCAGACCTACAGCTATCGAGGCCCGGGCGAAAGCCATCCCTTGTTGGAAAAGTCGCGGTATTAAATGTGAATACAATTTGTATAATACACATTAAAAGTTAAAATGATTTGGAAAACAAAAAATCTTAAGAAAAACCAATTTCATTTAGCAAGCAAAAATACATTTAAAAAGTTTGTTAATCTGCCATATTTTGCCCAAAAAGGCAATTTGCCCATTTTGGCATTTTGCATTGGTTCACTATGAACGGCGTTTCACTCTTCCAGTTGTTGCCACCAAATATTAGAGTCCTGCGTTATATGTAAAGAAATTACATAATGAAGAATCTACATGATTGTATGTATGCTTCTCGTACTGTGAAAAAAACAACAGTACCTAGAGACATCAAATTTTGAATAATGTAGTCATCCACTCGAATATGGGCATCTGGAAGCCTAAATTTGGAATTTGTTACATTATCTATCTCAGATTTTGTAAAACTTTAACGAATTTTGAATAAAAAACTCAAAGATTTCAAAGCAAGCAATGGCAACACTGAACGAATTTTTTTTTTTTTATTCTCCAGCACACGAGACTGTTATCGGAATTCTAAAGATATGTTCTTTTAAAAAAATTTTGTGATATTGCTGTTGAATTGAATTTTGTAGTTTAAGTGCAGAAAGCATAAAGTTTAATAAATAAAGGTTGTGGAGATATTAGGATTTTTGGAAACAAGAGAGATGAAAAATTAGCAACCGCCTTCGCCGGGAATCGAACCACGGACCTCTGAAATACCGACCCAGCGTGCAGAACCACTCCACCACGAAGTCACGCTAGGAAAGAGAGAGAAATACCTTATATACCCCCCTTTTTAAAGGGCGACTGGGGTTTTTAGGGTACCCAATCGCCAAATCATGGGTGTGGAGAATCCTCATCCAACACCCTTTTAGTTCGGGCGCCACTTTAGAGGCATTAGGTATTTTGGAAGCAGGAAAGATGAAAAATAGCAGCCGCCATCGTCGGCAATCGAATCACGGACCTCTGGAATATTGGCCCAGCTTGCAGAACCACTACACCACGAAGGCACGCTAGGAAGTCGGGAGAAATACCTTATAAGGTAATACACAAAAGGTTAAAAAAAGACCCTTTGAGCGTAATATAAAATCTGAAAACTTTCAGATTTTTTTTAAAATTTTTTTGTGATAATTGTTTTAATTAACTTGTCTGTCACCCCCTTCCCAAAAAAAAAACTGTTTTTGGGGAGCTTTGACTTCTTCAAGATTTTTAAATTGCTTCTTCAAAATTAATGTTTTTAGTACAGTATTTTCAATGAAAAGGATTGTCAAATTGATTGTCTTACTGGCTCATTGTTGATCGACGATAGCTTTTAATGAACTCCAGCTCTGAAAAGGTTCTCTCGCAAGAAGGAACTGAAATATGGACTATAAAAAATGTGTTTAACCCCAAATATAAGTAAAGGACTGATTCGTGGAAATACATTTTTACAATAAACTTTACCATTTTCAATGCAGACCACTTATTAGCTTCGTCTTTTATATATTCCAACATGTCAATACATATACTTAAGATTTTTTAGAGGCCCTCCCCGATAGAGGCAAAAGCCAGTCGCGCTCCCCCCCCCCGGCAAGACCCTGTTTCTAAGTAATTTAACTAATCATGAAAATATAAAACACGCTGTAAGGCTTTCAGATTTATTTTTCAGTCAATTTAGAAAATATTTTTTCTCTTAATTATAGAACGTTGAATTCAAAAGATGTATATATTAAGTATTTTTAATAATGATTATCAATAATATATAGAAAATAATTTAAAATTACGGTACAGCAATAACGATTAAATATAAAAAAATTTTGCATAATTTAGAGCTATTCAATATCCTCCTGCAGGAAAATGTTGATTTTTAAATTAATTTAAATTCCGAAACAAATTTCTTTAAGAGCTCATTTTGTAAATCAAGGAAGAAATAAGTATAACATAAATGCATATTTCTTATTCTGAGAACTTGTTTCGGAATTCTAGAAAATAAACTACCTGAATTATTATTCTAAAAATAGAATATAATGTATACGTTCTTAACTACGAACGTAAAAAAAGGTTTAACATATATTAAAATTAATGACCAATATATGAAATTTCTAATATTAACATTTCTTTCTAACAATTCTTCACATTTCGTTCTAGCAAATTCAAACATAAATAGTTACAAATACTCGAAATTACTTTATTATGAATAAAAAACATGCACTTCAGCTTTTTGGAAATACAGAATACACAAAAATCGAAGAATGTTTACATAAAAATGATTCCTTCTTCTCTTCACATACTGTAATATAGAATTCATACTATGCATACTTGCACGCGTTTGTATAATATTCATGTTTTACATAACATTAACCCAATCTATATTTTCTACTTTCAGACGATATAAGTTTTACTTTCTTTCGCTCAAATTTAAAAGGAGGCAGTAAAATATTATTTTCAGATATATATACTTTAATCGCGTCTTTAATAATTAATTCCCCTAGTCTTAGTAATTCTCTAATAATATCTACGATTAAAAGTAAAATCCATATCTTGACCACAGCAATATTCCACTAGCAGTTTTTGGCATTGGAATAAGTGCTATATATAGCCTGCGTCATATACAAATAAATCCTTGGAAGGACATCCGCAATTTCGTAAGAAAAGTTCCCGACTCAAAATCACCCCATGAGGGAAATACTGTCACAAGATACCTAAACCAAAACTTACCTCTTCTAGGCAGATGGCGGGGTATATCACGACGAACGTTCCCACATCATGGCTGTTCTTCACTCCTGACACACGCCCACCGCAATCCTCAAAGATCTCCCAGGCAGGGAAATTCACGAGCACAAACACATGAACAAGATTTCCCACCCTCACTCGACGAGAATCCCAGTGTACACACAGAGTAACAAAAGCTAAGCTTTTTTTTTTTTTTTTTTTTTTCTTTCTCTTCCAGGTCCACCAACTCGAGATGGTCGAAAGCGAAGGAAAAAGATGGTAAGTATCAATCCGCAGCGGGATCTGCTGATCAACTGATGGCGTTCGAAGCGAGTGACGGGGATGTTGGCCGGGATCGCCGGTAGAGGGCCCAACTGCAACCTTGCTTCTGCACGTGGACACGCAGAGTAGGGAGGTGAAGTATGTGTGGATGGACGAGCGGATATGCAGGATGAAATGATGCGCAACAAGTGAGGTTGCTCCAGAGATTCGGATGCATCTTTGGAGCATAAATTTAGCACTGGCAGGTTAAGCTCGATTCTTGATGATTCAGCTCAAGCAATGTTTCTTGGAGTAAATTCCGCTTTAACATTCAGAGATCTATCATATTTCACTATCAGTCACTTACCCATATGTACATGAATCGAGACTGCTGCAGAATAATTGTAAAGAGGAATTCTATAAAGGTAAAAAGAAAAAGTAATTGGATCCTATCCAGTTGCATAACTCAAAAACAAAAATGCAGTACTTTCAAATTGCAAGTAAATTGCTCGAGACGAATAAAACACGACTAAAAAAATAATAAGCGCAGGACACATTAGTAAAATTTAGAACAAGCAGTGAATAAAATATTAGGGTTGTTCAGTCTTTCGGTTTAAAGTATTTCTACGTAAACATGTAATATAGTACAATGTAATGGAGGGCTTAACATTTGATTTTAATCCAACATCTGAAAGAAAGTTATTATTTTCATTTTACGATGAAGTTGCTTGTTCTAAAATTTACAGTTTGAACTCCTGATTTTAAATATAAGATTATACGGTCTCAGGAATCGAAAAGCTGATGCCACAGCTTATTTATCTTCAAAGCTTGTCGGTTAAAAATTCGTTCATCTTCCAAGTGTGTCAATGTTCTGTGCTTGCAGGAGAAACGTGTGTGTGTTTATGGCAAAGCCTCGAGGGCTATCTGCCTAAGAGGAGGGATGCCTTCGTGGAGGACTTTCTAAGGGAAACTGGCTCGTATACATGTTACACATAGGGAAAACCACGAAAACACCCATGCAGCCAGCCCGTTCGCGGGATTCGAACCTTGGACCGAACTATCAGTGTTCAGCGACTTTACCGCTCGGCCGCTGGTGGGCCTGCAGGAGAAACGAAACCTTAAGACTGTAGTAAAAATCTATAGAATATATTTTTCTACGTCAGAAATGTTTCCAGCACAGCCTTTTCGACGTTTCACTGTATCACGCTATCCACGGGACATCATAAATGTTGCCATTCCCTGAGAATATAAGATCTTTAATTTATTTTTAATTAATTTTTAATTTAATTTTAATATAAGATCTTTAAATATTTAATCTGCTTAGCTTAAATATTTTCAGGTGCTAAACTGAAGTCTTTATATCGATATCAAATTGCAGTTTCTTTAAGATGTTGTAATTATCATATTTTTTTTAACTTTTAAAGTAAATTCGTCAAGACTGTAAACTGAAATTTACACACTGAAATTTTTTTAATTCAAACACAGAAGCAAAATATTTATATGCTTACTTGTACATATTTCAGTAAAAATTGGCTGTAGATTTCGAAACCTGTATAGTCCAGGCTCTATTTAATCCAGTCCTCTATAGTCCAGTCTAAAAACAAGTCTCTATTTAATTCGTATCTCACAAATACTTTTAAATAAATATTTCTCATACTTCTCAATGTAAAAAAAAAAAATCGACTTTTTGATGGACTCGCACATTTCACATCGCAGGGAAATTTGTTTACATCGGCTTTCTGAAGCGAAGATAGAATTTCAAAAATTTATACTATAATTTTTCCTACTTTTCCTAAGTTCGAATAGAAGTGATTTTCTTTCATCTATTATTTGTTAAAGAATAGATGATAGAAAGATAAAAGAACATCGCTGGTTATCTGAAGAACTCAGAAATTTGAAGCTCTGCCGCCCACCGAAAAAAGGAATTCTTATACCGCCGTATGGAGGGAATGGACTAACATAGGAGGAAAAAGGTTAGGTATGTTCTAAGTCTTAATTTTTACACTTCATATGAAGATTAAAATGCATTTGAGTTTTCAGGTTTAGACTTAGGTCTATTTGATTAGGGCAAAGCACTCGAGGGCTATCAGTCTAAAGAGAAGGACGCCTTCGTGGAGGACATTCTAATGGAAACTGGCTCGTACACATGTTACACATGGAGAAAACCCTCATGCATCCAGCCCATTCGCGGGATTCGAACCTCGGACCGAACTACCAGTGTTCAGCGTCTTTACCCTTCGGCCGCTGGTGGGTTCCAAAAAGTATGAGGAATGAATCTATAAAACTCGAGATTTCGATTTATTAATCAATACTTTATGAATACTGCATCAAAAGAATATATATATATATATATATATATATATATATGTTTCCCTCAAAACAATCTCTTCCGACTTAAAGCTGAAATTCTTTCATGCCAATGTTTTATTCCAAGCCTCGAAACACGTTTTAAAATCTTTTTCATGAAACCACGGGCCCATCAGCTGACGAGTGGTAAAGTCGCTAAACACTGGTAATTCGGTCCGGAGTTCGAGTTCTGAGGAAAGGGCGTTTTCTTGGCTTTCTCCATGTGTAACATGCATATGAGACAGCTTCCCTTAAATTCCTCTACGAAGGATTTGCTCACCTTAGGCAGATAGCCCCCGTGTATGCTTTGCCGTAATTAAATAAGCCAAACCAAGCAAACGTGAAACCATGCAACGATTTGCTGTGAATTTTCTTTTACTATATCTGTATTCTCAAACCGATGACCACGAAGCAGCTCTTTTAACCATAGAACTGAGAAAGAAAAACCACGGTACCTCATAGACAAAAACGCAGCTTCCTAAGCCATGTCTCTTGAATTTTCAGCCAAACATTCACGAACAAACGCATTAATCCTGGTAGCAAATTCATGAATTAAGTTGCCACAATTTAGGTCTCATTTTCTAAGAACTGTTTGCCCAAGTCCTGAGAAACACTGAAATGTTGTTCTTTGTTAACAATTTAACCTAGTCGTTAAAAATTCATTGAAACTAAAAGGAGAAAAAAAGGTCATCCCATTACCTCGACTTTTAATCGCCTCCGACATAATCTTCTAGGTCTTGATTCACTTTTCCAGCTCCATTACCTTAATTGCTAAGCTGTTTCTGCATCAAAAGCATATACCCATGTTTCATTATTCGTAATCATGCGTTTTGTGACGCACTTACTTTAAAGTAAGCCTTTCCTGACCCAGATGATATAAAACACAATTGAGCTGTTCACTGCCACAAGTCTATTAACTCCATAAAAAGTGGAGAAATGCGATAAAATAGTGTACACTGCACACACACAAAAAAAAAAAAAAAAAAAAAAAAAAAAAAGATCGCAAAAATTTACTACTTAAAAAAAATCTGAAATGTTTCAGATTTTAAATTACGTCCAAAGGGGCGTTTTTTAACATTTTGTGTGTTACCTTTCTTTATTAAATATCATGTTCCTCGCACTTAAACCATAAGATCCAGTGCAACAGCAATATCGCAAAATAGTTTTAAAACGAGCATATCTTTAGAATTTCCGATACAGAGACTCACGCGCTGGAGATAAAAATGTTTTTTCTGCACAACGTTGCCATTGCTCGCTTTGAAATCCTTGAGTTTGTTAATCAAAAATTCGTCAAAGTTTTAAAAAAATAGGAAATCGATCATAAAACAAATTTCAAATTTCAAATTTGGTCTTCCACATGCTCATATTCGTTGGAGGATTACGTTATTCAAAATTCGATGACTCTATGTACCGTTGTTTTATCACAATACGAGAAATATACATACATTTATGCAGATTTTTCATTATTTAATTTCTTCAAATATAATGCAGGACTCTAACATTTTGTTGCAACAGTTTGAAAAGTGAACCGACATTTATGAGTCCGACGCAAAATGCCAAAACGAAACTAATAGTCCTTCGGGATTCAAATCCCTTTGGACTAAAAAGTAATTTTATATCTACCGTTCTACTGGGCCGATTGACAAAATTCAACTTGCGTTTTTCATGTCTCGAAAGCGCGACTTAGGATATGTATTAGATTTATATATAGCATTGTTCTAATATAGGTATTCTGACACAAACTCCGGACTTTTTCTGAAATAATATATTTTTTTTTCCATATTTCGATTCGACGAATCAAATTATTTCGCCAAACTACCAAGTTTTGTAAAAATCAGTGTTCTGTAAAGAGCAGTTTCTCAAAAAGTAGCTCTGAAAATTTTAGCTCCTCAATGTTAATTGAATTTGATATATTTATTAATATCTATTTTATAGATACAATTTAGTAATATCTTTTTTATTAAACTTATTTCCTTCTTGCTTTAATATTTCAAAATTTAGGTTCAATTCTAAATGAAATACTGGCCCGTATATTTTCTGATTTACTTTTTAAATTTGTATTTTTAAATAATTTTTATAAATTTTTCGAAAACATTTTTACCATCATATTAAAGTAGATGTATTTGTAAGCATACCTGCAAAAAAGTGCGGTTTTTTATCCAAAATTTCCGAAGATTGAGAATTTATATATTGGCGCGTTTTGATATTTGGCATATTTGTTGAAAGCGATGATAATATCAAATGTGGTTTGGGCACTTTGTTAAAATTATTTGAAAATATAAACGCTGCGACTTTTTTTTCCGCTCCTGCACAACGGAAGGGAAAGGAAAATAACTTGCTATATATTAAGAAGTTGCCAGATGAATTATTCTTGGCGCAAACTGTAAAAAATGCGCCAAGTTAATTTTTTTAATTTCTGCGTAAACTTCGTACCAAATTTTAATACGAGTCTATTTCAAAAAATGCCCCATTTTGTGTCCAAATACCTATGTTAGAACTATACTAACATAGGAATGCTATATATAAATCTAATATATATCCTACATATCCTAATTCGCGCTTTCCAGACATGAAAAACGCAATTTGAATTTCGTCAATCGGCCCAGTAGAACGGGAGATGTAGAACTGTCCCCCCTTTTTTTCGCAGTATACATTGTTTTTCAAAATTCTAGAATGTATAAACAGAGATTCCTCTAATGGTA